TGAGTCCATTGAATAAATGATCTTATAATTACACATCTGACCCGGGCATCAGGCCAGGTGACTTCTCCCTGCTCCTCCAGGTCCTCTCCACCCCTTTAAGCCCCGCTCTTTTCTCTGGAAAGCTGATCTATGTGACTTCCACTTCCTGCTGGTGCACTGGCTGGCATAGATATTATAGAATTACCTCCCATAATAGTAAGATAATTTGGGTTATGTTAGTATATATGCATATGTGTATTTGATATGTATATACGTACAGATTATATATGTATCAAGTTTACTTGTGTTTATTCCTATACTATGCAAAACATCCCTATTTTGGATTTGTGTTTAGGCAGAAATTTTGTTCAAAATGGGCCATTCCATTCTTGAAATGTCCTTTTTCATGGTTTCCTGTTCAGCTTATCACCTTTCTCAATGTGAATTCCACAGCATTGTCCCCTTGAATATACTGCCCTTAAGGACGGTTGCACACACTAGTTACATTTTGGCTTAAAAATGTATAAAGTTATCCAAAGTGAGCAATAAAAGCAACAGAGGTCTCTTCCACCTCGAGAGTCAAGTCCTGTCCTTCAAATGTGAAGGAAGCTGCTGGAATGTGTGCTTGCTTTATGGAGAATATTCAGTTATAAAAAGGAAAATAAGCAGGAATGATGAAACTCGTAAGAATGTTAAGCACAGATAGTGAGAAATCTAGTAGCTCAGGAGGGAGAGAGAAATCTCCTAGGATCTGTTATGTGTAAGGATGGATAAACCAGTGGCTGGTGACACACAGGCAGAATTCAAAACAGATGTATGGAGTGAAAGTAAGAGAGTGAGTTCTCAGATCTGGTAATGGCTGAATAAATGGATACATGCTAAGAGTGTTTCTTCTAGAAAGGACGAGAGAGACTAAGTCATAAGACAGGATACTCTCAACTCACAGTTATGTTCTCCCTAATTTGGCTGCCCACAGGTAGCACACATAATCGTCCTATTCTGGCCCCACAAAGACTCTGCCCAAGAAATGCAGATCAAACCCACACCTGTTCAGTGGGCTAACTGGTCAGCTCTACGGGGGCCAGGCACACCTGCCTGATTCTCCCAAGCACAAGTATTTCCTGTGGCCCCAGGCACCATCTGTGGACCCCCTTTGTTCAAACATCAACTCTGGTCTTTAAAACTATACCATCTCTGGGGCGAATGGTGATGAGGCAGAGACAGAGAGAGAAAAAAACAGAGAAAGAGAAGAGAGGAGAGGAAAAAGAGAAGGAGAGGGGACCTCTTAAATGTTACAGATCTAGAATCTAGAGTTCAAGGAGAACAGTCCTTCTATCTAGCCACTAGTTTTACTCAGAACTGCCACAGGATTTTGGTCCTCCTGTATGAATTCCTGGGGGTTATCGCTTACTGTGAGTGTGTAATCTATTTTCAAGATGGCTGACCGAGGCCATTCATCCGTGTGGTTCTCAAGCCCCTAACTTGGACCCCGTTCTCATCTAGACCAAGTCCCTATACTGGCAGTATCCTCTTCAATGAAAGCAGTAGTTATGAAGTCTGATTGCTCATTAGAATTGCCTTGGGAGTGCAGAAGAGTAAAGATGTTGGGGTTCACCCCCAAAGATTCCAATATAATCCATCTGAGATGTGGCCTGTGCAACAGGAATTTTAAAGCTCCCCAAATAACCCTAATGCCAGCAAGGTTTGAGGACCACTGCATCCAACCAACTGTTGTAATAACATTTAGTTTTCTTAGGCAGTGTTTAAGTACAGCAAAAAGAAAAAGTACTAAATGAGGTTCAAAAAACAACAGTGACCTGGGAAAGATGGCACATCTAGTCAGCCCAGAGTTCAAGCCCTGAGATGCAAGCTCATTCAGGCCCCAGCTGTGGTTTGGAACCAACTGGTGGGAGGTATTTGTTCCAGTTTTAAATATTTGGGGATGATTTTAGGGGTTCTATGGCTGAGAAGACTTTCAGGAGAGGAAAAACGATTCCATCATCCCCTCCTCATTTGGAACTTGTGTTGCTGATCTGATTCAAGACTTGGGCTGAGAGAATACATTTAACCCTTGAACAGCACAGTAAGAACCGCGCAGGTCCATTGATGTGGGTTTTTTTCAATAGTAAACTCTACATCACTACACGGTCTGCAGTTGGTTGAATCTGCAGATACAGAACCCCATGGAAAAGCAGTGGATAAGTAGGAATGGACACTATGGAGGACCAGCTATGAATTACACTTGGACTTCCAACTGCGTGGAGGGTCACACTCCTAACCCCACGTTGTCCAAGGGTCAACTGTGGCTAGAACAAAAGACCCTTCTCCCTGACTCAGGTACTCCAGAAACAGTGTCTGCTTTCAGCATTCTCTGGAGCTAACGCATATGGAAGAGTTGCCTCCTGTCTTTCCTGTTACCCTTACTTTGCCCTCCATGAGCCCAACTGGGCCACCTACAACAGAAAGTAAGAATGCTCGGTCACTTCTACTAAAACAGGTGGGTGAAATCTGGAGCCAATGACCAATCCTGTCATAGGCAAAGTCATAGTTTTGCACAGCTTTATTATGTTTGCCATCACCAGCATTTTCACAGGTGAGCTTCATGGTTATAGCAGCATTTGCCCTTACTGACTACCAAGTGCACACTATTTGTAAAACCTAAACAATATCCAAACTTTGTCCACAAGATGACATTATTTTGCTTGAAAAATGACTAACAAAGCTATTTTCTCTATTCTCAGTGTTTTGGGTTTCCCTGTTCCTTTCTTTTCAACTTCTCTATCAACTTGCTTTCACATGCTCCTAGGTGATTTCCATTCACTGCTTTTTAGGATGAGATTTTGTAGTTGGTGACTTAAATAATATTAATTAATAAAAAGAAAAAAAATAAATTCAAGGATTGAAAGAAAATTTATGTTCATTATAGTGTTATCTTTTTATCATCTGAAATAGGAATTTTTTTTTTTTTTTAGTGAAACAGGGTGACTTAAAGAAAACCACATGAATTTTGGAGGAAGATTCCAAATTGGGGTTTGCATCCTTGCTTAGTTACACAGCTTCCTTAAGGTTATAAAGTATCTGCAAAACAAGGCTAAAAACAAGGCTAATAATACCAAATTCTCAAGGTTGTTGACAGGAATATCCAAATATATATATATATATATATATATACACACATACAGACATGCATACTATTAACGTTATTAATTTATTACTATTACTATTACGTAGACTACTTGGTAATATTATAA